CTCTCTCTCTCTCTCTCTCTCTCTCTCTCTCTCTCATCCACGATACAAAGCGAATCTGCTTCTCCGCCTCTCTGCACACCCTTCGAGCGCCCGCTTCATCGCCGTCAAGCTCTTCTGCTCCCAACACCTTATAACATCGAGGGGTCGACTTCACCTTCACGAGAAGGTATAAAAAAGTTATTTTTTTTTTTCTTTTCTAGAATTCTAAATTTATGATTTTCTGGTTTAGATTTGTTTAATCCGGTGTGAAATTGTGTAATTAGCGTTAGTTAGTGTAATTTGATCTATAGCTCTTTGAGAGTGCTCTATATACAATGAGAATTGAGATGTGTTTAACTCTTAGGGTTCATACGATTTCCTTTTTATTTTTTCATAAAGTTGAGGTGTGTTTTAAGTGAATTCGTTTTTCATAATTTGCCCCTTTCTTTGTGTCTCTTTTTTTCTTTTTAACAAAATTGGCCCTTCAGATAAGCGTCACGGGAGCTAATTTCACACACTTCTCCACAATTGTTTTTCCTTCTTGTTTTCGGTCGGTTTGCAGCCTTGATTATCCCGTTCTAATATGATTTGTTTTGGATAAGTATACACAACTCTCTGCCAAAAAAATTATTCTTTTTGTTCGCCACTGTACAGCTATGCTTGTGCTGGTAGAACCTTCTGAATTTTATGCTATAAGTGTTTGTAGAATTCATATGCATGCACAATTTTTGGAATTGGTACCGAATAGCTTGGAACGGGACCGAAAATGGCCGCTGGCTGACGAGCCCTGAAAACAACCTTCGTGTTTAACCTTTTGGCTACCGGAACTTTGTTAAGATTGTAATTTATGAAAGTCCTCGTCTCTAGTGCCATTTTGGTAATTTTGAATTTCTATTTGGGTTGTGTGAGGTGTGCGGGCTGTGGGTATGTGTGTGCATGAAGTGTGCTGGCTGTACGGGCGATTAGCTTATTTTGTGTTGAGTTTGACTCCCGAGTAAGCACCGGTGCAGTAAGTACTTTTGGGAATTTAATGAACTTTCGGACTTAATTGTACTTTTTCAAAGTTGTTGTCAATAAGTTTTACTGTGTTATCATATGCTGTTTTGACCCTCGTAATGTCACTGTCTATTTTTGGTTTCTTCAAGAAACCTGTATCTGAATCAACTGTTGTCTTTAGGTGGGCGCAAGAATTCCCCCGCTTATCTATCTTATATGAATAGTTATACTCAATATACGGTCACTGCACAGGGTTGTTTTGTGTCCAACATCGCGGTGCGCTGCCTGTTTATGATACTTTTGCACCTACGTAACATCTTGTTTTGCTTCCAATACTTCATGAACGTCGTAGATATGTCTCTTCTTTACCTATTTTTTATAAAATGTATTACTCAAAATACAAGTGTCGTGCTTAGCTTTATGTCAATGTGGTTGTGCTGATTTTTGGACCATTTTCATCTTCTTAACCTGCTCGCAAGTGTTGGGAGTCTTCACTCGTAATTTTGTAGCTTGTCTTCTCGTAATTGAGCCCGTCCGTCACGAAACCCTTTCAGATTACACTGAAGGTGATAGCTGAGAAGTGAATTTATAGCTGGTCTAGTATATTAAATAAATAGATAGGCCGGTTGGAGGCGGGCATGGTCTGTTTCATACCTTCACTATGGTTTCCACCTGGTAGCTAGCGTAAGAAAGCTCACCTTAGAGTTCTAGGCAGGCAGTTTCTCAGCCGTTAGGAAGCTCAGTCCAGAGGCAGCCATAGCTCATGTTCAAGCAGAGGTTTCTATGCCCGCCCAGAACTATCAATAAGTAAGTGCATTCCTTTGAATTTGGCATGGAGCCGTCAAGACTAGAATAACCATCCAGCTTATCACCACCGCTTTCGGTGTTTAGTAGCCTATTGATTCCAGGTAGTTTCTTGAGGATCTTGAGGACATGAGGGAGGCAGAGTTTCTGTTCTTCCCTTTTTTTATTTTGTGATACAGAATTCAAGTAAGAATGAATCAAATATCTAATTTCTAGCGGTATTAGTAAATGGCGGCCATTGCGATATGGCGTAATGAATTTTTGAAAACACCGTGCTAACTTTGTGAAGGATGGCCTCGCCATTTACCGCCATTCGCTATTAATATCTGGTAATATGTTCATAATACACCGGCTACGCATTGTTCTGTCCTGTTTTTCAGCAACTAGGCTGTTCGGTTTTGCCCTTCTTTCATCTTGTGATGTACTAGTGAGTCCTAGGAGTCTTCACGAGTTTTAGTTCAATATCTTATCTTTTCATTTCTTCAGGAATCAACTCGATATCTATTTTATAGATTAAGTTGTTGTGAAAATACAAACGCTACACAAAGCTACCTTGTGATTTGATTTGTTGAGCTGAGCCTAACTCGATATCTTTTTCTTCCTTTACGACATTTGGAGGGTTCTCGAAGTGCATTGATTTGTTGAGCCGAGCCTAAGTCTGACCCAATAATTAATGTTTGTATGTCACACCTAGTGGGCAAAGCTTTGAAAATTACTTCTTTACAAAGAAACTATAATTTGTTTCATAAGTACGCATTTTAAATCCTTAATGACATGTTTATTCTGTCATAAAACTTTTATTTGAATTTGCATTATGCATGAGGATTGTGTCTTGGAATTGCTATTTAAATTCCTATGATCAATACGTGATGATATGCGATAAACTTGAACATGTCTTGTGTATGTTATCGGGAAGCATGGATTGCTCAATTAACTGAGTAGAGATGCGGTCGTCGATTCTCCTAAGAGTCTATAGTTGCCGCGACCAACATAGTAATGACAAAGAAGGCATTTCTACGCATGGTCTAGTCCTTACCCTAGTCTGACTGTAGCCATCAGCAGGTTGGTCGTAGTCTTTGGCATATTCTAGAATATGATGTCATTTGGGCTTCGTTTATACCAAAGAGAGGTCTTTGGCATATTCTGGAATATGATGTCATTTGGGTTTCGTCTCTACCAAAGAGAGGTCAAGCTTTGTGGAAGGGAAAAAGTTGATAGGGGAAGACTTCAGCCTATCCTGATGTGTTACCTTTTGGTGAGTGGAACCGTAAGTGTTGGTGGGCGATGCGTTATATGAACAGGGGCCGGTGTATTTCTAGAGATGTGTTTGTGTTTGTGAACTTGATTTTCTTGTTTGGACCAATCTGATTTCTCAATTTGTTATGATTTGTGCATATCATGTTTTCTCCCATAAAATCCATTTTGCACAATAAGTGCTGCGGTGATGTTTTTATAGAAATGTTTTCAAGAATATTGCATTCTGTCTACTGAGCCCTTTTTGGCTCACCCCACATTTTTTAAAAAATTCAGGTATGTAACATGTCGGGTGGATCGTGACTTACTTCTCGACATGCTATGAATCTCGGGCCCATCTTAGCTTGCCTTCTGGATGGAATTTCTCTATGTCAACTTTGAATTTCTGTTTTTGTTGAGAACGGTTTTGAATTAGTATTTTTAGTGAGAAGCTTCCACTGTAGTTACTTGTTCTTTTAAATTTTGCTCGATACTATAGTGATTTATTATTTTCCCATATTTTGGTTTGCTGTGTGACATCAGTCGTCAGCTTTTATTTTAATATTAATTGATTAGCTTAGCTTTTACTTGCATTGTACTCTTACAACTAACTTATGAATTTCTACTTTCATTATTATTTTTTTTTTTTAAATTATCACTCACCATTGCTCCTTGTGTAGGTTGTTTGCTTCAAGTATCAGTTGGGGATTCAATTTTGTTTCTAGCAATGGTATGCTCGTACTTCCTATATATCTTTACACACATAGTTATATTCATGCTTCCGTTTTTGGCTTGTGCATTTGAACACCTTAAATGGTCATATTTATTTTTAATGAGATTTTAGTAATGAAACGTGAAAAGATACTGATGAAAATGTGATATGCCTTAAGCTAAGGCCAGTGCATATTAGGTAATAGGTAATGCGAAGTTTCATCCCAAATCTGAGGATGAGATCACTGACGACCTTCTATGATGCTCAAACTACGTAGTTTCGAATGCCATATTTTGTTGCGCTGGGGACCCCTCATATTCGTCATGAAGCTTGCATTTTGTTTTAGTTTGGATTTCAAAAGGCATGAAAAGACACTGTAATGAATCGGTATGCAAATTTGGGAATTTTTTTAACTAAGTTCTTAAGCCACGGCCATGAAATTTCAATATGGCCGGTATGATGAAACATATTTAGGTGAAGGAGAATATGAGCTTTCTTAGGTGTAGCTGCAAAAACTTGGGAAACTGTGCCTGGTGGTGTTTGACCTGCAGGGTGATATTATTCTGCACATTGTCTATCATAGTAGCTCTTGATCATTGGTTAGGATATGCAATTTATGCGTTTAGACTTCCAGTATATTTTAATTTCCACAAAATCTAGCTCGGGTTTTAATTGACGAGCAATGTTATTTTATGTAAGCGAGTCGAGAAACAATTTTATACTTGGACTAGGGATTAACAGAACATATACATGAGCTCGGTGTCCCTCATTTGAAATGTTTTCCATTTTCTTATAAGCTAATCAATTTTTGACACATATCTTGCAGGCTGCAAAGATTCTTGCTAATTTGATCATTATGGGGTCTGGAATAATGGCTAGAGCATTTGTTCAAGCATATCGTCAGGCACTTGCGAGTAAGTCATCTTTCGAACTGTTTTAGCTCATGACCTTTTCTCAATGAATTGCACAATTTGTCCTTGCTTTGTAACTTTTCTTTATCGAATATATCAAGTCTCCTTGTCCTTGCTTTTCGTGCACAATTTGTTTATTCTATTTATGTCATTTTGTGTTTCATTGGAAAGTGGAAACACATGAGTTAGTTAGTAGATCGACGCCTAAGTATCCAGATTGATGTATCAAATTTTAAGCATTGCTTCCAGATTCAACTGGTGTATCTCTTTAGCACTTCGCTAATTACACAATTAAATTGCAGATGCCTCGAAAAATGGGGTTGCTCAGGAGGCAGCACAACACATAAAGAGAGGCAGTAAAATGATGACCGAGGCAGAAGCTAGGCAAATCCTTGGAGTCTCTGAGAATTCAACTTGGGAAGAGATTGTGCAGGTTTTGTTTTTTCCTATTTTCCTTTTTCCTCTTTCTGTTATTTGCCTGTGAGAAGA